CTATCCGAACCGATTTATAACTGAACCGTATCTGAACCGACTCGAAACCGAACCGAACCGAAAACTGTATAGAACCGAAATCAAATCCGAACCGAAATTTAACCGAACCGAACCGATTATAACATATAACCGAAAGATATCCGAACCGAAAAAGTTTAATCCGGAACCGATCCGGTTGATCCGATTGCCACCTCTAATTATATTTAATGTAAAAGAAGAAATTTTAAACTAGTACAGTAGTTTAGGAAGTGTACGAGAAAAAGGAGTGGTTATTTAACAAAATTACTCCAGTTTGGTTTAATATAGCCCCCAGTCAACTGAGTTGGTGTCCCCTCAATTTTAATTGAGGATCGATGTACATATAGCCTAAATAAATACTCACATATTATTTTTTTAACCCTAGACCCAAAAATTTGTTGGGGGCCATGGACCCTACTACTATAGTGTAGATTCACTCGCCCCTGCCAATAGGATATTCTTTTTCCATCACAAAATATGGTTCACATATGATCGGGCATGGGTTTTAAGAAAGTTAAAATTGTGTGGTTGGAATTTATGTAGAGACACAAATTACATGTAAAATTTTAGTATTATTCCCCAAGGTGTATGCCTGGTAACAATTTACCCCAAACAATTTTAAAAATAAATTCCAAACATGAGTTTTGGTTAGTGGAAGCATGTAAACTCACTTTATTATGAATTTTGAAGGGTTGTCTGCTTGTATTGAAGGCACATTTCTGTTATAGAAAATAAAATGATGGAAGCAAACGAAATGCGGGGAAATAAAAGCTAGGCTAAGGCTTAGGCGTTGTTTGGAATGAGGTAAGGTAGTTAATGAGACCTACCTAAGCCTACCTTGGGAATAAAAGGTATGAGATAGTCATTTTTAGGCCTTGTTTGAAAGGGAAAAAAACATTTTTTTATTTTCCATTGCATTTTTCAAGGTGAGATTTAACATAAGAAAACAACTTTCCTTGCATATGTATAAAAATTTTATGCACTATCATAAAATCTTGTATTGATGTTGACAATGCAAGATTGAGAAAAACCCTTTTAACTATGTGTGCGCTTTTGCTATTAGTTTTAAATCTTGGTCTTGGATTGGCATCCATATCTCTGGCTTTTGTGAGCTGTAGTTTTCTCAACTCCCACTGACTCTGATCTTCTATGGTTCCTTTGAGCAATTACTACTTCTGGGCCTGGTTTTAATATGGATTTATAATTATTTCACATTGCTGTGTAAATTAGACGTTAATGCATGAATTCCATCAGCTAGAATATCGATATAATTTTTTTTTTGAATTTGTTGGGTCGCTATGTGGCATGTGCACATATCTATAGATTTATTGATATTTATAGAGTAATACCTCACAACCTGATATACCTATTTGGATCAACTTAATAGGTAGTTATAGGATTAATAGCCAAAATAAAAAATGAAAACATGCCATATCAAACAGTATTTATACTGCCATTCCTTAAAGGCCATAGAGTGGCTAGCGTCTCTGTTCTCTCTTGTTCTAAATATACTCAAAAATAGTAATGGCATGGCCTTCATATAAGAAACCACCCATTAAGAATGATCAAAAATAGCTAAAACGCCCCCAATCAAGCAGTTTAGCTAGTGGGAAAAGAGCCCATAATGTATGTGAACCGTAGTGCATTAAGAAGATAATCACTATTCACTAGATGATATTTTTCGTCTTTCTACTCAACCCAAGGCTTTGGGTTGGTAGGAGGGGTTGTTTCCTCTTCTTTATTTCAATGACAAATTCTTGCCTGGATATTAGGTTTCTGGTAAATCTTCATGTAAACAAATAAGCATTTGTTTACTATTGCAATAAACAGTTTTCAATTTCTTTTTTATTAAAAAAATAAATGAATATTTGGGGTAGAAGGTTCACGTGTACTTTGTGGGACTTTGGTCCATGCCAGAATTTCTTATAAGATTAACCTCTTGCTTTTTGATTTTCTAGCTTCTGACTTCTGTAGTGATTGTGTTTTCAGCAGGTGATGATTCACTGAGAGTTGCGATGCCTATTTGCAGTAACATGATCAAGGAATTTAAAGGTTTAAGAAGTTTTAAAATAGTATTCACTATAAATTTCAAAATTAAACAGTAAATTGACAGAAACATGAAATTAAAGTGGAAGTGATAATACTTAAAATGAATAGTAATGATGGTATTCATCATACAAGATGATATGAATGTAGTGTTAAGAATAATCACATAGTGTACTGAATTTCTCCTCTACTTGAACTCAATTTATACTGCTAGCTAGCTTTCAGTACGTAGTAGTGGAATCTAAAAAATTTCTAAATATTGACTGACTCCAATCATCAAATCAGTGATTGTGTTGGAAGATGAACCATGGCAAGGCAGAGCTCTTGGGAGGGTTGAGCCCTAAAGGCCCAAAGCTGGACGAGGTCGCCTGTGACCAATCGATTCCTCTCCCGGACTAAGTTCCAATTGGTGATCAAATTGTAAATGCAGTTGGCAGACATATCCCACTTCTTCAGGGTGATAGGGTAGACAGAGGTGCCGTCAGGTTCAATCAACGGAACATTTTCAATCTTTGTTCCAGAGTGGAGAGTTTGCTTCTCTTGAGGTGTCAAGAAATCGTTGGCCACCTGTTTTGATGGAATAGAGAATCTGCCCTTGTATGGTGCGGTGTCAGACTCGAAGAGCTTCTTTTGGATGACGAGAACCGCCTCCTCCGCCTTCCCTTTCATCTCCCTCACTTTGTGCCTGAAATCTGGCGGCAGCTCGACCACCGCCGCCGAACAAGAAGCACTGTTATTAGTCACTTTCCTCCTCTTGTTGGTGTTGTCTTTGTTCAGTGGAATTGGAGCACTTGCAGAAGCCTTTCTCTTCTTCTCATTCTCCTTTGATGCATGTGGAAGACTTTGGAGAGCAATTCCCTTCTTCTCATCCTCGAGTTCTTGCTGGGCAGTTTCAGCAGCGAGCAAAAGCCAGTCGAAGCGAGTCATCGTTTGCGGCGGCTGATGGAGAGGAAAGGCGGGGGGTCTCAAGAACCCATTATTGTTTTCATCACATCTGGGCAGTCTCTTGACCGGTAAAGACCTTCTTTTCTTGGTGGGATTGCAGCCAAGAAGAAGAAGATGATGAAGATCGCATTCTTCTTCTTCTTCTTTCAAGAACCCATTCTTATTGTCATCACATCTGGGCAGCTTCTTGACCGGCAAAGTCTTTCTTTTCTTGGTGGGATTGCAGCCAAGAAGAAGATGATGATGAAGATCGCATTCTTCTTCTTCTTCTTCTTCTTTCAAGAACCCATTATTATTGCCGTCACATCTGGGCGGCTTCTTGACCGGCAAAGTCCTTCTTTTCTTGGTGGGATTGCAACCTAGAAGAAGATGAGGAAGATAATCATATTCTTCTTCCAAGAACGCCATTATTTCTCTCCTCTCTTGAATTCAGCAGAGCAAGAAGTGAAATATAAATTGAAGAAGAAAAGGGATTAATCGACTGTGATTGGAAATAAATGGCGGCGCAAATCTACCTGAGGCTTACTACTGATGGAGAGAATTTAAAGGGAATGAAGTAAGTGGGTATCAATTCCCCAATTCAAATATTAACCCTAATTAATCTATGCGATTTAGCCGCGTTAAGGCGCGCTCCTCTTAACGGTAAGAATTGTTGACTCTTTGACCCCCACTATCTCATTATTACTCGTACTTTACTTTCCTAATCTTATTAGTGTACTTATGATTGTTTTTGTTTGGATTTAATATCGGAATTTAGAGAAAAAAATGGATCCAAGTTCACAGCAAAAAGTGAAAATAAATTTCTTGGCCTAATATGTGTAGTGTCATTTTTGGTTTGAAAAATAAATACTAATGTTTAAACGCTTTTCAAAATTCATTTTTAAAATTTTCACGATTTTATAAAGTTTTATCTATACTCTTTTGTAATCAATCCTGGTGGCAACAAGGCCAACGAGGAATATCACGTACACATGTATTATTCTTCATAATATGATCGTAGAAGACAACGGTTTGCGATCTGTCATTACAACCTGGACGAGGAGATGCATATGTACAAAGAAATCAATGAAGAAAAGAAACGAAGAAACTGCCAAGTAATTCGAAGCCGAGTGATTCACAATGCAGTAACGGCGGATTTAATTGAAGATATCTTTAATCGCTCAAACAATCGGTAATTTGTTTGTACTTTCCTTTTTTAATGAATATAATTTTTTTAATGAATGCAATTTTTTAATGAACTATTCTTGTTTCAATTTAATTAAATAATTAAATTTTATTAATTTAATGAGTAAATTCCATAATTGGTCCATTATAACAGGGGGGTTTCCATATATAGTCTTCTATTATCAAATATTACCTCTGAAGCCCTTTTTTTAAGGGTGTCTTTCACAAATGGTTCTTTTTTGATCTTCTGCCATGTTAGTGTTAATTTAAATGCTAAATGCATACGTTGACATCAACATTATGTTTAGTAACGTGTTCTGATATTGGTTAAGCGGATAACACAACAATAATGACTTTAATTGTGGGCTAAGATTCCGATGAAAGACCACATTTGTAGACTATGGTTGTAGTAGATAGCGATTGTAATTCACAAACGACATAAACGGAACAACCTTTGGAATTGTATATGACAAAAAAGAAATATTATCATTGTGAAATTACACTTTTAGCCCTCAAATTAACACCAACATGATAGAAGATTAAAAAAGGACTATTTGTGGAAAGATACCTATAAAAGAAGGACCACTGTAGTAATATTTGATAATAGAGGACTAAATATGGAAACCCTCATGTTATAAAGGACCAGTTATGGAATTTACTCTAATTTTAGAAATTGTATATTTAAAATGTAAACATGAAGGTTTGAAGCCCTAGTTTGAAGCCCTAGAGATTCAAACCAATTTTCATTGAAACTGTGTGTTAAGTTAAAGTTGGCGTGACAAAGAGAAAGATTTGAAGCCCTAGTACTAAGCCCCGGGACTTCAAGGGCATTTCTAGTGCTCTAAACTGAGTTTACAAATTTTTGCCAAGTCACTTTACTCTAATGGTTGAAGTTTGAACCTCTTCTAAAAAGCCACCATTACTACCACTTTAAGTAAGCAAAGATATACTCCACCAGTGATAGTGCTAGAGATAATAAAAGCCTCATTTCGCAATAGATCCGATATTTAATTTTAATTAATGTAATGTTTTGAAAGAGTTATATTTAGTATAATAGTAACATTTAACTTAATCGAAAACATTGTTTTGAAGGAGACTAGAAGTTATATATTTTTCTTTCGTCCCATAAAAATGTTCTAGATAATATAAAAACTAGGATTGGTGGAATGGTCTAGGTCGTAGATTGAAGTAAACACGCATCTACTTTCGGACCCACGCAGAACTGACTATTAATAATAAGTTTGTGATAGGTCAAGGACAAGAGGACTCCAGTGCTGTCACTGGGGATAACATGCACAAACACTCAGGGCAGTCAGGGGAAGGGTTAACATGTATTATCTCTAGTCCGAGTGTATTGCCTCGTTTGACTTTAAATGTCAATTAAAAAAAACTTTGATCCACATTAATTTTCCATCCTCTACATATATATAAACAAATAAACAATAATTTCTTCTTCCAAAATTAATTTTCTCAACCGCCTTCTATAACTTCTTTCGTATCATATAAGAGCAACTCCAATGGAAGGGGCAAATGAAGAGGTAAGATACCATAATTACCATATTTGTCTTTTTTTCAACAAATCAAACCTCCAATGGAGAAGGTAAATCAAAAGGTAATTTACCTTCTTCTATTTTGGAGAGGTATCTTTACCTCCTCAAATACAAAAGGTAAAATATTTGATGCCAAAGCCAAGTGATCTTCGGTGCATCGTCGATCTTCTATTTTCAAAATTAGACGGAATTGTGAGATATAAAATTAAGAAACAAATGGAGTGAAAGAGGAGTAAAGATAGAGTTTTGTATTTGGGGATGAGGGAGACAAAAAAGCAACCATACAGAATGGAGCTCGGGACTCGTCTCTTCCCCTTGTGCGGCTGCTATGATTGCCTCAAATTCATCTCCCGATTCATTAATCTAAAATTTGTATAAAAGGAACATTTGACAAGAAATTAAAAAGAAATAAATTTTGAAATTAACCCTAAAATGTCTTTTAATTTAGAAAAAGTATGTTTACCTTTTCTAATACCCTCTATCCATTGGAATCAAATAATTTTGAGTAAATTCTATAATTGGTCCTTTATAATAGGGGGGTTTCCCTATTTAGTCCTCTATTATCAAATATTACCCAAGTAGTCCTTCTTTTATGAGTATCTTTCCACAAATAGTCCTTTTTTGGATCTTCTATCATGTTGGTGTTAATTCGAGGGCTAAAAGTGTAATTTCACAATGATAATATATCTTTTTTGTCATACACTATTTCAAAAGGCTGTTCTATTTGCGTCGTTCGTGAATACCTTTTCTTTTGCATCTTTGGAGTTGCTCTAATAGAAAGGAGTGTTAATGGCAAAATCTCTGGGACTGATTTGCAGGATGAACCGGTGAACGATGGAACGACCGATGCTGTCGAATATGCTCGGCCACGCCACTACCGACCTCGATCGGCATAGCCATTGTTGCCGTCGGTACATACCGCCGCCGCGTGGGCGGAGCCGCCTGCTATCAGATCTATGCTCCTTCGTATTCTAAATCTCACTCTCAGTGACCGCGAGAACAATCAATCATCGCTTATAAGGTGATCGATCTCACTATCCATCGTTTCTCCTTACTGAAAATCTCTAATAATTGAGTGGCCTTCTCTGTTTGTGTTGGAAGCACATTTCTATTGCTGAAAATTAAATATTGGAAGCTAAGAAAATGGATTTATGGAATATAAAGACCAGTGTTTAAAATGAATTTTTAATAGCCTCGCTTTTGTGTCTGAATTAGCATCTTAACGTCTGGATCCACTCAGCCAGTAATCTGTAATTATGCGTAGATTTTTTGGTATAAGAGATACACTTTAAACTCGGGTATTAACTATATGGATAAACTTATACAATAAACAAAACAGATCGAGTGCAGTTCTCTTTTGTCCAATTTGTCGAAGGCTAAAACTTGGTCCCGTTTTCTGCTCCTTTCCCACATTGCATTATCGATGTGGGGTTTCAACTCTGTTGCGCTGCAAGTGGCCTTTCCCTCTTCTTCTTTTTTTTCTAATACTCCATCAGCTTATCCTCTGCTTTATTCTCTGCTTCTTTAGTGGTTGTGCTTATGGTAGCTTAGGATTCACAATGTGGTGATGTGCCAACTTGTATTGATACGACTAATGGATTATATTAAGTGTAAAAGAAGAAATTTTAAACTAGTACAGTAGTTTAGGAAGCATACAAGAAGCATACGACTAATTTCCTTTTCCTTTTTTAAGGTGAAACCAAACACAGGAAAACAACTTTCCTTGCATATGTTTAAAAAATTAAACACTTTAATAAAATCTTGCATTGATGTCGACAATGCAAGATTGAGATAAATCCTTCTATATGTGTACTTATGCTATTAGTTTTAAATGCTGGTCTTGGATTGGCATATATATATATATATATATCTCTGGCTTTTGTGAGTTGTAGTTTTCTCAACTTCCACTGACTCTGATCTTCTGAGGTTCCTCTGAGCAATTACTACTTCTGGGTCTGGTTTTAATATGGATAAATGATTATTTCACATTGGTGTGTAAATTAGACCTTAACGCATGAATACCATCAGCTAGAATATCAATATAAAAAATGTTTGAATTTGTTGGGTAGCTATGTGGCTTGTGCACATTTGTAACAATTTATTGATATTTATAAGGTAACACCATACAACTTGGATACCTATTTGGGTCAACTTAATAAGGAGTTATAGGATAAATAACCAAAATAAGAAATGAAAACAAGCAATGCATATTAAACAGGATTTATACTGCCCTGCCTTAAAGGTCATAGAGTGGCTTTCTCTCTATTGTTCTATATATACACTCAATGCACTTCATACTTCATAGTAATGGCCTAGCCTTCCTAAAAGAAACCACCCATCAAGAATGACCAAAAAGAGCTTAAACGCCACAAATCAAGCAGTTTAGCTAGGTTGGAAGAGAGCCCATAACGTATGCGAACCATAGTGCATTAAGAAGATAATCACTGGATGATATTTTCGTGTCTTTCTGCTCAGCCTAAAAAGAGGCTTTGGGTTAGTAGGGCGGGTTGTTTCCTCTTTATTTGAATGACAAATTCTTGCCTGGATATAATAAAGGTCTCTGGTAAATCTTCATGTAAATCAAATAAGCATTTATTTACTACTATTGCGATAAGCATTATTCAATTTCTTTTTTTTTTAAAAAAATAAAAGAATATTTGGGTGAGAAGGTTCATGTGGACTTCGTGGGACAATAGAATTTCTTATCAGCCTAACCTCTTGTTTTTTTTGTTTGCCTTTTGATTTTCTAGCTTCTGACTTCTGTAGTTGTTTTGCTTTCAGCAGCCGAGGATTCACTGAGAGTTGTGGTGCCTACTTGCAGTAATATGATCAAGGAATTTAAAGGTATGAGAAGTTCTAAAATAGTATTCACTGTAAATTTTAAAAAGTAAACAGGAAATTGCACAGAAACATGATGAATATGTGTTAATAGTCCTACAATATAGTACTCCAGTAATAAAGCTTATCCCAGTCACATGTGTGTAATTCGCTCATTATTCAAAATGTCTAACAAAAACATACTAAAAATGAAAAGTAATGGTATTCATCATACAAGATGATATGAATGTAGTGTTAAGAATAACCACATAGTGTACTGAATTTCTCCTCTACTTGAACTCAATTTATACTGCTAGCCAGCTTTCAGTACGTAGTAGTGGAATCTACAAAATTCCTAAATATTGACCAGACTCCAATCATCAAATCAGTGATTGTGTTGGAAGATGAACCATGGCAAGGCAGAGCTCTTGGGAGGGTTGAGCCCTAAAGGCCCAAAGCTGGACGAGGTCGCCTTTGATCAACCTATTCCGATCCCTGACCTCGTTCCAATTGGTGATCAAATTGTAAATGCAGTTGGCGGACATATCCCACTTCCTCAGAGTGATAGGGCAGACACTGGTGCAGTTGGGTTCTATAAACTGAATATTTTCAATCTTTGTTCCAGAGTGGAGAGTGTGCTTCTCTTGAGGTGTCAAGAAGTCGTTGGCCACCTGTTTTGATGGAATAGAGAATCTGCCTTTGTTTGGGTCAATGTCAGACTGGAAGAGCTTCTTTTGGATGATTTTCTAGCATCTGACTTCTGTAGTGGTTGTGCTTTCAGCAGCCGAGGATTCACTGAGAGCTGCGGTGCCTACTTGCAGTAATATGATCAAGGAATTTAGAGGTATAAGAAGTTCTAAAATAGTATTCTCCGTAAATTTTAAAAAGTAAACAGTAAATTGAACAGAAACATGACGAGTATGTGTTAATAGTCCTACAATATAATAATAAGGCTGATCCCATTCACATGTGTCTAATGCGCTCATTATGAAAAATATCTCACAAAAACATGAAATTGAAGTGGAAATGANTGATTTTCTAGCATCTGACTTCTGTAGTGGTTGTGCTTTCAGCAGCCGAGGATTCACTGAGAGCTGCGGTGCCTACTTGCAGTAATATGATCAAGGAATTTAGAGGTATAAGAAGTTCTAAAATAGTATTCTCCGTAAATTTTAAAAAGTAAACAGTAAATTGAACAGAAACATGACGAGTATGTGTTAATAGTCCTACAATATAATAATAAGGCTGATCCCATTCACATGTGTCTAATGCGCTCATTATGAAAAATATCTCACAAAAACATGAAATTGAAGTGGAAATGATAATGCTATAAATGAATAGTAATGAGGGTATTCATCATACAAGATGATATGAATGTAGTGTTAAGAATAATCACATAGTGTACTGAATTTCTCCTCTACTTGAACTCAATTTATACTGCTAGCTAGTTTTCAGTAGTAGTGGAATCTACAAAATTCCTAAATATTGACCAGACTCCAATCATCATCAAATCAGTGATTGTGTTGAAAGATGAACCATGGCAAGGCAGAGCTCTTGGGAGGGTTGAGCCCTAAAGGCCCAAAGCTGGACGAGGTCGCCTTTGATCAACCTATTCCGATCCCTGACCTCATTCCAATTGGTGATCAAATTGTAAATGCAGTTGGCGGACATATCCCACTTCCTCAGGGTGATAGGGCAGACAGAGGTGCCGTCAGGTTGAATCAATGGAACATTTTCAATCCTTGTTCCACAGTGGAGAGTGTGCTTCTCTTTGGGTGTCAAGAAATCGTTGGCCACCTGTTTTGATGGAATAGAGAATCTGCCTTAGTTTGGGTCAATGTCAGACTGGAAGAGCTTCTTTTGGATGACGAGAACCGCCTCCTCCTCCCTCCCTTTCATCTCCCTCACTTTACGCTTGAACTCTGGTGGCAGCTCCACCGCTGCGGAACAAGAAGCACTGTTACTAGTCACCTTCCTCCTCTTGTTCTTGTCGTCTTTGTTCAATGGATGAGGGTGACTTGCAGAAGGTGAAGCCTTTCTCTTTCTCTTATTTTCATTCAGCTCCTTGGATGCATCCGGATGAATTTCAAGAGCGATCTCACTCTTCTTTTTCTTTTTCTTCTCATTCTCAAATTCTTGCAGGGCAATCTGAGCAGCATGCAAGAGCTAGTCGAATGGAGTCAGTGTTTGCTGCGGCTGATGGATGGGAAAGACGGGTCTCAAAAACCCATCTTTGATGTCACATCGTGGCCGCATCCTGGTAGGGAGAGACCTCTTTTTCTTGGGGGGATTGCAACCAAGAAGGTGATGATCATATTCTTCTCCTCCTTTTTCTTTCAAGAATGCCATCTCTATCTCGCTTCAGCAGAGAATCGAATGGAAATTGAAGAGAACAAGAAAGCAATTGAGAGAATTTGGAGGCGGAGGCTAAAGATTAAGTTCTTGAACCATTGTCAAAAGGGGAATGCCTCTTCTTCTTCTAATCCTACTGATGCTGAGGTCTTTTCACTTGCAAAAGAGATCTGGGGACTTGGTGGAGTGGCTGTTGAACAGAATGGTGGAAAGGGGGAGGAGGAGGGTATTTGGACAGGTAATCCAGCCCTCCCTTCTCCCTTTCAACTTCAGCTACACCATTCATAGTAACCAGTTTGCCGTTTCCCTTTCCATCTGTCTGTTCATTTGCCCCATCAACCGCTGTGGTCTGAGTATCCTCTCTCTCAACAGCAGGGGTCTGAATATCTTTAGTAGCAGCAGTATGAGGTTCGTCTTCTTGAGCAGTCTTCTGCTTCTTCTTTTTCTTCTCCACATTTTCTTCATCTTTACGTGCCTTTCTCTTCTCTTCTTTCTTCTTCACACTCACATCTTTGGGTGAATCCAAGGGGGCTTCAACAGTCTTTTTATTAGAACCACTCGTATTTTTAACCTCCAGAGGCCTTTTCCCCTTTCCACCATTTTGTTCAACAGCCACTCCACCAGGTCCCAGATCTCTTTTGCAAGTGAAAAGACCTCAGCATCAGTAGGATTAGAAGAAGAAGAGGCATTCCCCTTTTGACAATGGTTCAAGAACTTAATCTTTCAGCCCCGTTTGGTACACGGAATTCAAATTATGGAATTGGAATTGAAGACTTCAATTCCAATTCTCGTGTTTGGTGTCACAAAAATTATGTGGATTTGGAATTGGTAGTTCAAAAAATGAATTGGAATTGGTGAATTCAATTCTATGGATTTGAATCCCATGGAATTTTAATTCCAATTCAATTCCAATTCCATCAATTCCGTGTACCAAACGGACCCTTAGAGAATTTGGTCTCCAATTCAATTCGGCAGCAAGAGATTCGAATTGAAGAACAAGGAAGCTTACGGAGAGAAATTGGAAACGAGGGAGGCGCGCCGCAAATCCACCTGAAAGCGCACTTACTGGCGAGAGTTTAATGGGGATTAAATATGGCAATTTCCCCAATTCAAATATTAAACCCTANATTTGGAATTGGTAGTTCAAAAAATGAATTGGAATTGGTGAATTCAATTCTATGGATTTGAATCCCATGGAATTTTAATTCCAATTCAATTCCAATTCCATCAATTCCGTGTACCAAACGGACCCTTAGAGAATTTGGTCTCCAATTCAATTCGGCAGCAAGAGATTCGAATTGAAGAACAAGGAAGCTTACGGAGAGAAATTGGAAACGAGGGAGGCGCGCCGCAAATCCACCTGAAAGCGCACTTACTGGCGAGAGTTTAATGGGGATTAAATATGGCAATTTCCCCAATTCAAATATTAAACCCTAATTCATCTGTGCGATCTAGCCGCGTTAACGCGCGCTCCTCTTAACGGTAAGAATTGTTGACTCTCTTTGACCCCTGCCACTCTCATTATGACTCGAACTTTACTTCCTAATCTTGGTGTACTTGTCTTTGTTTGGAAACAAAGATGATTCAATTAATTAACAAGTCAAGAAACAATCACACCAAGTGGTGAAAATAATTGTGGTGGCCTATATAATACTCCCTCCCTCCCTATCATGTTTTTTCAATATATTTTATTTAAATGTTGGTATAAAAATAAAAAATAAAATTTACATACAAATAAAAGGTGTCAAAAATATTTTTATTTTATCAAATAATCAATGAAAACATACAAATAAACAAAAGTTCTTGTGATTGTTGAAAAAGGAAATGTGACAAATATTTTAGAATGGAGAGAGTGCCTTAAGAAATACTATAAACTAAATACTATAAACTTCAATGCTTCTACTCTTTCTAGTTATTTTTTTAATTCTTCGTGATTTCATAAAATTGCATGCATACCACAAGTTTCATAGATTGGAGCTGAGCATTGTTATCTATTTTCAAAGTCGTTGAAGTCTAAGAGACACTGATTTTGTTATTAGGTCATCTCTTGGACTTCATTTGATCTAGAGCGACGAGAATACTCTTCCATTTTTATCTTGACATCACTTTATATTCCCATTTTCAATATATTTTATTTTTTCATTTTAATTTCTTGTTTCTTTGAAAAAAATTACTTCGTAACTTTTTTGGAAGTTCAAAAGAAAAAATATGGTCTCTATTATTTTTTTGAAAATTAAAAATAGTAACTTTTGTTGGAACATCCAAAAAGATACATTATTTGGACTGCTTTATTAAAAATGTAAGTATAAATGTAAATAGGTAGAATCAGTCTTGTGGATCTGATTGTGGCGGGTGCGGGTTAAAACGTACGTACGAGATCCACAAACTATCGTTTTAAAGGGGACAAGGGACCCAGCGGAGAACTCCTTCGTTGGTCAGGTCGTGTTGTACTGTTATGTGTTGAATAAGGTAGACTTGAGTCATGGCAGTAGGTAGTGACTCTAAGTATGATGATAAAGTTGCGAATAAGGATGTATGGTCTTAGCTTAGTATTTATATTATGAGCTATTAATAAAGATGAATTAAGGTTATGATTTGTCACTTGTGGATTCATTTAATGGTTGTTATGTGATGTTAATGTTGTAATTGTGTGCATGATATTGTATGGAATTATGAGCTAGTGGGTTCGTCTATGTATGTAGTCGAAACGTTAAATATTTCTCATTTAGTTTCAATGTTGAGCGTGTAGCTCTTTTTCCTCTTTGCTTTGCCACACGTAGGTAACATGAACAATGAATAAGACAATAGTTATGGAGGCAGAGAGAGCAAAGAGATGGATGAATGCTAGCTCAGGAGTTTGTTGAGTTTAATAATATGACTTGAATTTATTATGGTTTGAGGCAAGAACCCAATTTGTATTTTGAATTAAGTACTTAAAAGCTTCCGCACTGTTTTGTTAACTCTGATGAATTTTTAAATAATGTTTTGAATTGTTTTTGAAAATTATTGTGTTCGGATGCAAATTTAGTAACGACCTTCTTCGCTAACTCGTTCGTCTAGATTCCTCGTTGGTTAGTGATGAAGTTAATTAGCCACTCTATCACTAATGACAAACAAATTTAATTTAATTTGGTGTACTTTTTAACTTGTTACGATATTTATTTCTTCACATCATTGTATTGTAAATTGTGTAGTATGTTATGTGTTTACATTTTAGTGTATGTATACAATAAAATTTGAAGTGTCTTTATTGTTTGAGACTTGTTTGTTTTATATGTACTCTTGTGTGAATGTGTAGTATAACTTGGGAATTTTTTATATATAAAACATAAATATTCAAAGGCATCAGTTGTTACTAAACAACCGATGCTAATATGCTTTAATAAAAATTAAAAAAATATGTCAAAGGCATTAGTTATTATTAAAAACCGATGCAAATACACCTTCTTTATTAATATTTTTAAAAATTAATAGTTCAAATGCGTCGGTTATTCCTAAACAAGCGATGCTAATACAACTGTAACAAAAAAATTCTAAAAAAATAAATACATCAAAGGCATTGGTTATATGTAAAAAATGGATGCTAATACACCTTTCTATAAATATTTTAAAAAAATTAATAGAACAAGGGTATCGGTTGTAACAAAACAACTGATGCTAATACACCTTTCTTTAAAATTTTAAAAAAAATAAATATATCAAAGGCATCGCTTGTTCCTGGAATAACCGATGCCAATCCACATTTTTTAGCCAAAAACGTACGGGTGGCATCAATTTTAATTGAATTGGACTAATTGCATCACTGGAATTTGCATCCGTACAAAACCGATGCAAAAGATGCAAAGCAACTAATGTTAATGCCCTGGTATGTAGTAGTGGAGTTGTATTTTGAATTAAGTACTTAAAAGCTTCTGCACCATTGTGTTAACTCTGATAAATGTTTTAAATAATGTTTTGAATTAAATGTTTTAAATAATGTTTTGAATTAAATGTTTTAAATTATTTTGAAATTCTTTTTTGTTTGGATGCTAATTATGAAGCAACCCAGTTCGCTAACTCGTTGGTTTGGGTTACGCGCGTTGGGGTGTTACAGTGTGTATGTATATAATTAGATGAGTTGATTGTTCGTCCACCCCCCTCCACAATACTGGTGGGGTAGCATTTATATACGTGAGAAGTGTGTTCCTTAAGCCTCGCTACTTTTGGCGCCCATACCACATGGGTTCATAAATAACTTGGAATATATTTATTGTTATTCGGGTCATTCCAACAAACTATGCCAATCACCGATCCATAGTATACAAATAAGAACTATTGGCGTTCAACCAAAGCACTTGTTCAACTGATCTTGCATTTTTTTCAACCTTGTCCCAATGTAGGGTCCTCTTCTTTTGTTTCAAGGTTGGCCTTCTTTCTTGAACTGGATACCCCATTTTTTAGGGTATTCATCACCATGAGTTCTCGTTGAGAAATCACCTGGGTGGATGTCTTGGATGGGAGAACAAGTAAGGATTTGTACCATACTATGCCTACTTGGATGAAAGGGACATGGTCAGACTAGATTCGCTGCCAACGGACTAATCTAAGAACATCCTCCCTCGCACTACAATTCAAGAGTGGAAAAATACAAAGGGAATGTTCCAGATGAAAGAAGACAAGGAGTCAAGGAGCCATTTTTTAGGAACAAAGCTTGGGTCTAGCACGTGACCAGGCATTACGTCCACGATTCAATGTCGCCTACATGTCTCATATCTTTAGTATAAATATGTTTGTAACCCTGAGTAGGGGGATCAGAATTTCCACTTAATACTCTTGCTTGTAATACTCTCAATTCTCAATAACAATTAGACTACGGCTTTTCTCACCTACAGTCTCCTCGGTCAAACTCAAGTTCATCATGATTTTAGTAACTCTACCCAGCATAACGCTTTAGACACGATTTAGAGAATTCTGGCCGGGTTACTAATTTACACACATGTATTATTCTTCATAATATGATCATCGAGCTGAGGACAATGGGTTTGCGATTTATCATTACACCCAGGACGAGGAGGTGCCTATGTACGAAGAAATCGATGAAGAAAAGAAACGAAAGAACCGCCAAGAAATTCGGAATTGAGAGATTCAGAAAGCACTAACGGTGGATTTGATCGAAGATATCTTTAGTCGCTCAAATAATCAGTAACTTGTTCTTAGTGAAATTCTTTTATGGATGTAATTTTTTATTTAATGAATGTAATTTTTTAATGAATGTCATTTTTTTAATAAATGTAATTTTTTTAATGAACTTTTCTCATTTCAATTCAATTAAATAATTAAATAATTTAATTTTATTAATTTAATTTTAAAAGATGTGTATTTAAAATGTAAAAAATGAAGGTTTAAAGTCTCAGTTTGAAGCCTTAGGGCTTCAAACCCATTGTATTGAAACTGTGAGGTTCAAAGCACCAAAGCTTCATGGGTACTTTCAGTGCTCTAAACCGGGTTTACAAATTTTTGCCCAGTCAGCTTACTCTAATGGTTAAAGCTGACTTTTGAGGTTTTAACCTGCTCTAAGAAGCCATCATTACTAGCACTCTAAGTAAGCAAAGATATACTTCAACAGTGATAGTGTTAGAGATAAGAAAAGCCTCATTTCACAATAGATCCAACGTTTAAATTTAATTAACGTAATATTTTGAAAGAGTTATCTTTAGTAAAACGATAACATTTAACTTAATCGAAGATGTTATTTTAAAAGAGATGAAGGTATATACTTCTTTCGTCCCATAAAAATGTTCTAACCTATGATTGGTGGAATGGCCTAGGTCGTAGATTAAAATTAACACGCATCTACTTTCAGACCTTTGCGGAAGTGACGATCAATAAGTTTGTGATAGGTCAAAGACAAGACGACTTCATTTGTGGATTCCCAAAAGTTATAAATACTCAATGCCGTCAACTGAGGATAACATGTTCAAACACTAGGTAACAAGGAAACGGCTAACATGTATTATCTCTAGTCTTAGTGTATTGCCTCGTTTTAATTTATCGAATCAACTTATACTCACTCTATTCTCAATTTGATTACAAATTGGGGTTTATG